TGGATGGATAGATGGATGGATAGATGGATGGATAGATGGATGGATAGATGGATGGATAGATGGATGGATAAATGGATGGATGGATAGATGGATAGATGGATGGATAGATGGATGGATAGATGGATGGATAGATGGATGGATAGATGGATGGATAGATGGATGGATAGATTGATGGATAGATGGATGGATAGATGGATGGATTGATGAATGGGCAGATATGTAGATAGATAGATAGTTATATAGATGGTTAGTTAGTTAATTAATTAATTAAATACATAGATAGATGGATAAATCCCTTCCAATCAGATTTTCCCTTTAAAGTAAAAGTCTTGTCACAATAAATCTCTAAGGGATTCTTCGAAATCCAGCAGTTCTTCACATATTCTTTGATAGTCACCTCAACTTGACATCTGAATGCTTTGAGATGTGTCACTAAATCTTTTGCTCTTATCTTAAGAGGCAACAAAAATGAAGCTAACCCCTCCTCCAATCAAGCATGTGCATTTATCCCACTTGGGATGTGGAAAATACCGGACAAGAGTCCAGCAGAGACCGAACAATCTTCTCTTGACGTTAAAATGCCTCTCTTGTTGGCCAGATTGGGCTTCGAAAGAATAAGACTAGTGACAAAAAGGTGATGAAAGGTGTGAGGTTGAGTTTGTCTTTGTTGCCGATGCTGGTAGGCCGAGCTGTTTGGCAGTTCTTGCAAGTCGAAAAGCACACTTAAGTTAACGTCACCAGGCGTCCTGTCGTCCCAACGCCTCACTAGGTCTGGGACAAAGCTGGACTTGTGTGTTGGAGGGGAAGGGAGCGAAATAATGGCCGTAAGACCTACGAAAGGCCAAGTCTTACGGTTGCCAGGTGAAGGTGAAGGGGGAGAACACATCTATTAGCCCCACTTAGGATAGCCACGGCACCTCAATCTGGCGCTGGAAAGCTGTAAACTTGCCGATATCCCATTCCACCGGGTGGGATGTGCATTTAGGCCATGTGCATCGATGACATGTTTGCCCGGTTAATTAAGTAGACAGTACAAGTAGCTGGTGCTCAATCAAAAATTTGCCCTGTCTCTTGTCATTGGTTCGTTAAGTTAAGAGAAATTGAAGGAAGCGATGGAAAAAAATGGCAGATGATACCATGTGCATCCTGAAACAATATGCCACTCGAGCCCCTTCAGGAAGACACTCTACTCAAATACGAAAAGGAAGAAGGGTATTTGATGGGTACTACTGATAAAGGATGTGAGTAGATGGGAGGAAAAATTTTCAACTGTGTAGTTTGGTCACTGTACTGTACTTCTTGTGGTCGCATTTTGCAGTGAGGTTAATACAGACACACGCGCACGTGATGTCACTGGGCATGAGATTGTTTACTGTCTGGAGATTGAAGCTCAAGTAGATCGCATTCCAAGGCTCTATCTTCGAGTTGCATAGCCGAAATGGGGTTTAACAGTTTGCCAGAAAAGCTTGGGATGGCGGGGGGACCTGTCAGTGAGCGGAGAGTAGATTGTTACATTATTCTATCTATGCGCATCCTCTTGTTCATGTACGTGATGATTAAAGATGGAAACCGGAATCTGATGACCAGAACAAGAAAAGAATAGGGCTTTTCCCGAAAATGTTATCACCAAGTGACTATGCAAATCACTTTTGGTGGAGATCATTGCCAGTCCATTGCAGACATTGTATCAGCGTCACTGTCATGTGTCGACGTCAGGCTGTCCTTGATGCACCTCCCTGCTAGTGTGAGTCACCGCTAAGAGTGTCGGCCAAAGATGAGCAGCCCATTAATTTAGGGCACGAGAGCGATAGATACATGGCGCACAATTGGGGCTAGTCCTGAGGAAACGAGACATGAGGTATCATTTACTGCAGTTGGGGAGCAACAACTTCAGAACGCAGAAGTTCAAAGGGATGGGCATTCGAATGAGGATGTGCAATCATACGGTGCGTTAAACAATCGGGTGTTTCGCATGGCCTAGAAAGCAATGTGCATATTTTTGAGTGAATCAACTCCCAGAAGCCTGCACTCCAGGAAACAAATTTTGCCTGCCATGGCAAAGGAGGCTGCTGGGTGAGACATAATTTTGAAGAAACGATATTACATTTTCAAAGACGAGTTAATAGTCGACTAAAAGTCCTGAGAGGTTAAAAACTCTTTTTTTGACTTGGTTCGTTAGAAGTTAAGGCGAATGAAAAATACCTGACCTCAGACTCATGTAAGACAGGTAGAAATTATTGAGCTTACTTCCATTTCGAGTGAAATGTTTGGTGAAGAGATTCGAAAGTTAAGCCATAAGAAGACGACGGCGGATTCCTCTTGATAAGCTGTCGATTGGCCTTACTGGAAAATTCTTGCTGACGCTGTTTCCGGGGCAATCGTCTTTGATGCTGGTGAAAATGTGCCAAGATTTTGTCCACCGTATGACGGACACCATCAGAACAAGATGTCATCCTTACAACCACATTCAAGCTAACAATTCAAGAAAACTCACTGGTTC